TATTTTCATCTATAATAGCTCGGCTAATCACTTACGTTATCTCAATACTGGTTCCAACAAAAACAGCGAATAAGCAAAACAGACACATCAAGAAGAGAACAATTGTAACGGCGACCTGAAAACAATATTTGCATACAATTTGGTAATCTATTATGTTGAAATTTCTCAAGTTAGATGGACATTTCATGGCATTCTACGGCAAATAGCGAAAACGGATTATAGGTGATGGATAAGTGCTGTTTGAAACATAAGTTTTGGAGAGACTTTCAAGAACTGTCAACCCATCCGTTATAGAACAGTCGATTACTTGGTTTGTTCATTACTGCATGCATGTAGAGGTCAGTGTGAGCGCTGATTGCTGCACTTTTGTGAATTGTTGAATGGAATGATTTTTCGGCAGGAAGAGAAATGAAACGAAAGATTGACTGAAGAATAGGACTGAATGAGATAAGTGATCTAAGCGACTAACCTGCATTAATAAATGTGGAACGAGAAGATACGGTGTTGAAGTTTTAATAGCCAAAATAAGTAAAATAACGGCAACTATGGCGAGAAAAGTGGCGAATAATGAAAGTGAAAATGATAGAATATACTGATCACCCGTACGATTGAAGAGATAGAAACTAGAGAATATCTGAAATGCGAGGAGAAATTATAAACAATTGGTGAGAAGAATGGCAAAATCTGATTGAATGCTCAAATCGTTAAGGATTCTATAAAAAATCGGCAAAATCGATTCCTTGCATGCTTACCTGGTCAAAATTACTGTTTAAATTAGTTCCGAAAACTGCTCTTAATCGATTTTGGAGATAATGCCTTCTGAGGCATTAACATTAATAAAGTGCTCTCTCTTCGAAACTGCTCTCACATTTTCATTTAGGATTTAATCTAATTTTCAGCCATTTCGTACAGTACCAATAGAAATCTAATATTATTAATCTTTTCAGTCTATTTTAACAGTCTCTATTTTTCTTTATTGCGTAATCTCAACTTTCTGATCAGATGCTGAATCTGGGACTGACGATAGAATGTAAATTTATGTGATAAATTCAGACTTACTTCATAACCAAGATAAAACAGTTCAACGATAGCAATCACAATTGACGCAGTGCTCACATGGAATGTACTACAACAACAGCGGTACTGATTCTTCGGATCGTCTGCTTCATTCGATGAAGATGGTAACGCTTCGACACCCATCGTCTGAAATTTCATTATGATGCAAATTGAGCACGCAAAAAAACCCATCCGGTCACGAGTTATATGGATGAACAAACGACTGTGATAACACTGTTCTCCAGTGTGATGATCCGTTCGGAACGATTTTACTCCGAATAAGATGCAGTCGAATTTTGTGTTAATTGTCATCTTATATCACGTTACGAATGAGCGAATCAATCGCTCAGTGAAAATCTCATCCGATTGATTCCGTTGATTCGCTACGTTGAATGAATGACACTGAACGTTACAAATAGTGACAGAATTTGTGATCGAATAAGGCAAAAGGTGAACCAAAAAAAAGTGTCGGCTCGGCGTAAGGACAGAAAGTTCAATCGGTGTCATTCGTAATAGATTTGCAAGGATTTGAATGAATTGACAAATATGTATACATTTATTTATTTATTTGAATAAAAAATCGGATTTTTCAATCGAATTAATCACTAAAAAATATGAAATCGTATCAGTCGAGAGCATAAAGCCCTGATGAACGTAAGGAGGTCATCGTCAAGAATCACTGAACAACATCACTACCGTCGAAATCCATCACAAATTATGAACCGACAAGGATCAAACAACCACTCAAACAATCATATAGACGAGCATTCGGAGGTGATGACCTATTCAAATCACTGTTCGAATTTTCATTAATTCAATTTAGTCTTTGATTAATTTGATCACTAATTGGATATAATTTGAGCTGTAAAAAACTTTTGGACATGCAAAAAAATGACCTAAATTCCTTGAAATAACCTGAAATAATCCAAAATTCGGAGAATCTTCCCACCCCAATTCAGCACCATCCAAAAAACAAATTCCTCAGATATTTAGGCTCAGCTTCAAATTCTCAACACACCAAATGATAGAAATGTTAATAGAGTTTGTGAAGTAATGAAGTGAAATCGAACTGTCATTCAATGAATCATAAAATATGCTATCTTATTTCTCCTTCAATCATTTTTGCTTGATTGAAAAACTTGAGTCAAGGTCGTCAACACTTACGTAAATTCAAAGATGTAATCACCTAATCAGCTCACCTAATGTAAATCTGATTCTTTCCGTTCGCTCATTTTAAATTTTAGGTGGTCACAACAATAATACTCTTCCATATATATTCGAACCAATAAATTACCGTGGCATTCTGTTGACCTGCTAGCTGAAAAACATATCAGTTGATGGAATCTATTGATTAGCGAACTAATTCAAGGTTATTTCATTGATATTCTATGATGGAATAGTATGATAACAACGAGGTAATTTCGAAATATAATCTGAAGAACTGACGAATAATATCAACACTCGAGCTGTTGTTCCTTAATTCAGAAGATCGTCGTTGTTACTGAGATTATTAAATCATTTTTTGATACGGTCTCATTTCATTCATGCTGATTGAAAATGGCAACGAAAGTGGTTTTCGTTGAGGTAGTACTAGACTGCTTAGACTGTCTGTCAACAATGTCAGTGGAGCCATTTTGAATACTCAAAAGCCAACTTTAAAATTGCCAAAAACAAGAACAGAGACAGAGGTGTCATTAACATGTCATCAATAATGTCGAGTAATTATGAGTGGATGAATGGAGGAGTCAAATTAAATGATCGGTGGATAGGATGTAAAATCAAAACAACTCTTAGGCATGTTGTGCATAATAACGTTGAAAATTGGTAGACATGCGTCTTCAAGTCAATTCACTGAATGCCGCCACCACTCTCTTATGAATTAATTCATCAATTTCATTTTCGGTTCGTATGAATGAATTTTATAATTATGGCACTTTCTCGCCACTTCTTTGAACTGTTGACCTTACTAAGATACCATCGAAAATCGCACTGAAACAAATTTTAAAAAAA